ACGTACAGGAGGCACTCAAAAAATTCCAAGAGGACAAAAATAAAGAATATGAGAAAACACCAATTCAAATAAATGAAATCATAGAAGCCCTAAATAAACACCAAACTGAAACTGAGACCACCATAAACAGAGATAAATGAATTAAGGTCAAAAACTGACAGTATTAAAGAAGAAGTAACCCATGATATGGAAAAACTCAGAAAAAGAATGAAACAGAAATACAAAACAAAATGGAAGGCCATTACAGCAGAATAGAACAAACAGAAGACAGAATCTCAGAACTTGAAGATGAAATGGCAATTAACGGAAAAACTGAAGAACATTCCTGAATTTAGGAGGAATGGTTTCAGTTTTTCACCTTAAGTATAATGTTGGCTGTAGGTTTGTCATATATAGCATTTACAATGTTGAGGTACATTCCTTCTATTTTTAGTTTTCTTAGAGCTTTTATCATGAAGTGGTGTTGGATCTTGTCAAAGGCTTTTTCTGCATCTATTGAGATGATCAAGTGATTTTTGTCTTTGCTTCTATTGATGTGTTGTATTACATTTACAGATTTGCGCATGTTGAACCATCCCTGCATCCCTGGGATGAAGCCAACTTGGTCGTGGTGTATGATCTTTCTGATGTGTTGTTGGATTCAGTTTGCCATTATTTTATTGAGGATTTTTGCATCAATGTTCATTAGGGAAATTGGCCTGTAGTTCTCCTTTTTGGAGGTGTCTTTGTCTGGTTTTGGGATGAGAGTAATATTGGCTTCATAAAATGAGTTAGGCAGTGTTCCTTCCCATTCTATTTTGTGGAACAGTTTAAGGGAGAGTTGGTATTAGTTCTTCTTTAAATGTCTGATAGAATTCAGCAGTGAATCTGTCAGGTCCTGAACTTCTTTTTGGGGAGGCTCTTGATGGCAGCTTCAATTTCTTTTTGTGTTATAGATCTATTCAGGTGATTAATATCCTCTTGGTTCAGTGTTAGGTGGTTGTAAGTTTCTAGAAATCTGTCCATTTCTTTGAGATTTTCAAATTTACTAGAGTATAGGCTCTCATAATAGTCTCTGATGATTTCCTGGATTTCTGTGGCTTTTGCTGTTATCTTTCCTTTTGAATTTCTGATTTTACTGATTTGGGTTTTTTCTCTCCTCATTTTAGTCAGGTTTGCCAGAGGTCTGTCGATCTTATTTATTTTTTCAAAGAACCAGCTTTTTGTTTCATTGATTCTTTGTATGGTTTTTGTTTGTTTGTTTGTTTCTATTTCTTTGATTTCAGCCCTTATCTTAATTATTTCTTTCCTTCTTCTTGTTTTGGGATTTGTTTGTTCTTGTTTTTCTAGGAGTTTCAGCTGTAGTGTTAGGCCATTGATTTGAGATCTTTCTGTCCTTTTGACATATGCACTCATGGCTATAAACTTTCCTCTCAGGACATCCTTTGCTGTGTCCCATAGGTTCCTGTAGGTCGTGTTTTCATTTTCATTAACTTCCAGGAATCTTTTAATTTCCTCTTTTATTTCATCAGTGACCCATTCATTGTTGAGTAATGTGTTGTTCAGCTTCCAATTGTTTGCATGTTTTTTACTGCTGTTTTTGTTGTTGATTTCTAGTTTTAATGCATTGTGGTCAGACAGAATGCATGAGATTATTTTTATTGTCTTATATTTGCTGAGGCTTGCTTTGTGCCCTAAGATATGATCAAAATTGGAAAAGGTTCCATGGACTGATGAGAAGAATGTATATTGTGCAAAAGTTGGATGAAATATATCAGCTAGGTCCATTTGATCTATGGTGTGATTTAGTTCTAGGATTTCTTTACTGTTTTTTTGTTTTGATTACCTATCTATTGGTCATAGGGGGGTATTAAGGTCTCCCACTACCACTGTGTTGGAGTCTTTATATGCTTTTAGGTCCTTCAGAGTATGACTGGTGAAATTGGGTGCATTGGCGTTGGGTACGTATAGGTTGATAATTGTTATTTCCTTTTGGTGTATTTCCCCTTTTATTATATGGAGTGTCCTTCTTTATCTCATTGATCAAAGTAGGTTTGAAGTCTACTTTGTCCGAGATAAGTATTGCTACCCCTGCCTGTTTTCAGGAACTATTGGCTTGGTAGATCTTCTTCCAGCCTTTCACTCTCAGCCAGTGCTTATTTCTGTCAATGATAGACATCATAAACAGCTACAGTAAGGTAGTAGGATACAATATCAACCTACAAAAATCATTAGCTTTTCTATACACCAACAATGAACAAACTGAGAAGAAATACATGGAAATAATTCCATTCACAATAGCCTAAAAAAAATCAAATACCTAGGAGTAAATTTAACAAAGGATGTGAATGACCTCTACAAGGAGAATTACAAACCCCTGAAGAAAGACATTGAGGAAGAGTACAGAAGATGGAAAGATCTCCCATGCTCATGGATCGGTAGAATCAACATAGTAAAAATGGCTATACTACTGAAAGCAATCTACATGTTTAATGCAATTCCCATCATAATCCCAATGACTTTCATCACAGAGATCAAAAAATCTACCCTAAAGTTCATTTGGAAACACAAGAGACCACGAATAGCTAAGGCAATACTCGCAATGCTGGAGGTATCACAATACCTGACTTCAAACTATATTACAAAGCAATAGCAATAAAAACAACATGGTACTGGCACAAAAACAGATATGAAGACCAGTGGAACAGAATAAAGGACCCAGATATGAATCCACACAGCTACACCTATCTGATTTTTTATAAAGGTGCCAAAAATTATATAATGGAGAAAAGACAGCCTCTTCAACAAATGTTGCTGGAAAAAGTGGTTACCTGTGTGCAAGAAATTGAAACTAGATCCATGTCTATCACTCTGTACTAGTATCAACTCAAAATGGATCAAGGACCTGAATATCAGACCTGAAACTCTGAAGTTACTACAGGAAGGAGCAGGAAACACTCTGGAAGTAATAGGTATAGGCAAAGACTTCCTTAATAGAACCCCAGCAGCCCAACAACTAAGAGAAAGAATGGACAAATGGGACTTCATAAAATTAAAAAACTCCTGCACAACAAAAGAAATGGTCTCTAAACTGAAGAGACCACCCACAGAGTGGGAGAAAATATTTGCCAGCTACACATCAGACAAAGGACTGATAACCAGAATATACAGGGAACTTAAGAAACTAAATTCTCCCAAAATTAATGAGCCAATAAAGAAATGGGCAACTGATTTAAACAGAACTTTTTCAAAAGAAGAAATTCAAATGGCCAAAAAACACATGAAAAAATGCTCACCACCTCTGGCCATAAAGGAAATGCAAATAAAAATCACACTAAGATTCCACCTCACCCCCATTAGAATAGCCATCATTCAAAACACCAACAACAACAGGTATTGGCGAGGATGCAGGGAAAAAGGAACCCTCATACACTGCTGGTGGGAATGCAAGCTGGTGCAACCCCCCTGGAAAAAAATTTGGAGACTTCTTAAAAATCTAAACATAGACCTTTCATATGATCCAGCAATCCCACTCCTGGGGATATACCCAAAGGAATGCAACACAGGTTACTCCAGAGGCACCTGCACACCCATGTTTATTGCAGCACTATCCACAATAGCCAAGTTATGGAAACAACCAAGATGCCCCACTACTGATGAATGGATCAAGAAAATGTAGGTACTTGTACACAATGGAATTTTAGTCAGCCATGAAGAAAAATGAAATCTTATCATTTACAGGTAAATGGATGGAACTGGAGAACATCATTCTAAGCGAGGTCAGCCAGGCTCAGAAGATCAAAAATCATATGTTCTCCCTCATATGCGGACTTTAGATCTAGGGCAAATGCAACAATGTGGTTGGACTTGGATCACATGACAAGGGGAAAGCACATATGGGAGATATAGAAATAGGTAGAAAACCCAAAACATGAAAGCATTTGATGTCCCCACTCCAGAGGAACTAATACAGAAACCTTAAAACGACAGGTTATCATGAGCAGGGGATCAGGAACTAATGTAAAGATCAGTTAGAGTTGAATCAACATGGGTCGTAACACATGGTTACACGAAAGCAATAGTAGGAATCTCTCTGTATAGCTATCCTTAACTCAACTAGCAAAAACGCTTTGTCTTTCTTATTATGCTTATCTCATTTCTTCAACAAAATCAGTGATAAGGGCAGAACGGGACCTGCCTGAAACTAAGGGGGCGAGGGGGCATGGTGAAGAAATGACCCAAATAATGTATGCACATGTGAATAAATGAACAAAAAAATAAATAAGCAAACAAAAAATTTTTTTTTAAATTTAAAAAAAAGTTAGATGCGATCCTGATTCATAAGCAACTGGAATCTCAGAAGGACTCTAAGAGGAGTAACCCATCCCGATTTCTTTTCCACCAATTACATTGGAAGTTATTATGCAGGCAGAGGTGGAGACAGTCTCAGAAAAGTATTTTAAAAGTCCAGCAGATAAGCTGCCTAACAAGCATGAAGCCTAAGTTCAAATCCTACTACTGCCAAAAAATAAATAAATAAAGGTCGAGGAGAGTGAGGATGAGAGCTTGATCACAGAGAGAAGCAACAGACCTAAGGAGGGAGATTGCCTCTGCTGCAGATTAACAATAGGACTGCTGATCAAGGAAGAAATAATAATCTCAAATGACGGAGATTTCTGGCCTAGGGAACTGTGCAGGAGATGGCACCAAGCATCAAAAGAAGGCCTGTGGGACGAAAAGCCAATTTGAGAAGAAAAATAATTTCAGTTTTGTATCTGCAGGAAAATATGGATAAAAACCAGAACATAAGAAAATTAGTAATTACAGATAAGCGAAATTTCTATCAATAAAATATCATTAATTGAACATAGAAAGGTTCCTTTCAAAGCCTAAGGGATCCTATTTCTGTGCTTTCTGCCAAGAAATGACAATAGCCTTCAAAATGCACAGCTGCATGAACAAATGATATCACCCAAACACTCTCCTAACAAGAATACACTGACAGCACTTGCTGTACTCACAGAGGAAAAGGGTTTTAGGGCAGCTGCTACTCCTTCAACACTGGAACTCTGGTCCCCTTTCTCAGGCTGGGTATGTTCCTCACAGCCAGAGCTGGATATGTAGTGCAGTCTAGACCTGAAAGAAACATTTGACCAGTCACTTCTAAGTACCTGGCCATGGCCAAGAGTGAAGTTACATAAGAATAAATAGAAGACCTATGTATCCATTCTTGTAGAAGAATTAATATTGACTTTGAGCAACAGGGGATTAAGCAATGTACTACTATTTACTTTTCAAAGTGGCCTCAGCATGCTTAGTATTTGTTCAATGTTTATGGTTAAATTATACCACTCATACAAAACGCCCACTAGGCTCTGTGGAGAGTCTTGTCTTTAGAATTCACCCTGGTAGACATGAAAAAAAGTAGGGAATGATAACAAAGCATAAACTGAAGACATTTTCTCTTATCAGTATCTGTATTTCCACTATGTGGGATAATAAAAAAAAAAAGGCAAACAGCTCACTCAGTAAGTGGTGAATTGAATAAAGCTCAAAGCAAGTAACAGTTATAGTTCAGTTATTAAAGTGACAGAAGACAAAGTTATTTCATAATATATCCATTAAATGCTTAAATGCAGTCAAAAGCACCTTTGAACACATTTCGTCGGCCAGTAGCTTTAAAAAACAACAAAAAAAGAAAGAACGAAAGAAAAAAACAAAGCACGCCTTGGCTGCTCCTTAGGAATACCATGCGTATTTTATGGTATCAGTTAACGTTTGCATGTGTCAATGTCTCGCCCACCTTTGTCGATCCATTTACTTCCGCCTATTCTCTCACCCTCCAAAGAAGTGCACCAAATGTAAGAGTTGAACTTTATAAGTTCAAAACACCCATCCTTAGAACAAAGACCTCTCGTTCTAAGTTATGGAGTTGGAACTGAGTGTCCTTCGCATCCAGCTTTCCCCAGATTCAGTAACCTGGATAACGAGGTAAAAGAGGGAAACTAAGGGCAGTGAAGACTAGCTAAATATCCAGTTCTCTTATTGTTTGCCAGAAAATGAACAATAGATACCAAAATGTGCAGCTGCTCCACTAGTGAACAGATGACATCACCCAGTGTCATTTGATGCCAGCACTTCTAGTTCTAAATGTCCAAAGCTTAACTCTTCCACTTCCCCTGAAAACCTGGTACTGCCTAGCTTGGCAAAGGCTATATCACATCATAACCAAATATCTAAGAGACAGGTACATCACAATCCTGTTTAACTTTTCCATTAAACTCCTTGTTTGATAATCATTCAATGCATACCATATTAACAATTTTAGGTATATGAGTTTTACTGCTTATATTCCATCTATTATGTGAATTTTAAATCTTAAATGTATTAAATTCATTAAATAAGTCACCAATGCCATCCATTCTAGTCAGTAAGCTACTGTGTACTGAAGACTATGATTAATCCTTACTAAAAACACTTCCTAGATTTTTATTAGGGGTAGCATGGTGAATAATTAAATAACTATTATTTCCCAGACGTCCTCACATGTGGCCACATAACTAAGAAAATGTAGGCACTGATAAGCCAATGTGATGGAAAATGAAATTATCTGGCAGAGCTTCTGGGTAAAGCACCTGGCAAGTGACACAGACCATCCATGGACACTCATTTATTTGCTTTTCTTCCTTCCAACCGAGAAAGCAAATGTGGTGGCAGGGGCTGTGGCAATTCAGTGGCATTGGCTGAGAAAAAAACCTCCATCTTGCTTAAATCACTGTTACATTAAGTTTCTGTTACCTGCAGCTAACTGCACCTTTTAATGGACTTGCAACTCCACTAGGAACTACTATTTTGGTTTTTAAAAATGTATACCAGCCACAATGCAGGGTCACTGGCCCAGTGATTTTGGACACTGATCATTTTTGTCACAATCTACATTTACCTATTTTCCTTTAACAGTAATCTGAGTTTCTTCCAATGAGGAGCTACTCCTTCACTCTCAGTCCAGGTGCCGGGAGAAAGAAATCCCCATTCCTCCCTGTTAGTTCTTATGTGCTCTCATGAGCTGGATCTAGGAACCCAATTAATACAATAGCTGATTAAAATGAGAAAAGCATAAAATTTCATTAATTTTTAATGCACATGGGGATCTTCACAGAAGAGTGAAGTCTGAAGAAAAGACCAAAGCATGATGCTTTTATACTGTTTAAACAAATGACAATAAATTTGTGAAGAGATGGGCCAGGACAAAGTAGTAAATTTTGGGGGTGTCACTAAGAGATATATCAGGAGAGGGGTTCAAGCTAGCAAAAGATAAGGGTTACTTTAAGGAGTTTATTTATTCAGGTTCACTGAAGCCCCAATTATCTCTCCTGTGACCAAAGCTATTTTCCACCTTGGCATGTGAAGGACATCTTCCAAAAGAATCTTTAAGACTTGCTGCATCTGGGGGAAAAAAGATAGGCCAAATGGCCCTTTCAGAGGTTACATTCCTAGGTGACTTCAGCGTGGAATGATCAATTCAAAATTGGTGTTTTTTGTCTTAATTCCTTCACATGTGCTCTGGGTGGGATTGAAGCTGATCCCAGCTCCAAAGATGGATAAATCACTTGTGACTAAACAGTCATGAATCCCATCATTTAATCAGGGAGTTAGTTTAGCAATGACCACAGACCCAGATAAGGGCAGTGAAAGGCCTGGAGCTGATTTTTGGACTCGGTAAGAAGGCAGGTTCTCTTTCAGAGATGTACTTGTCTGAAAACAATGCATACCCACTGCTGCCAGTCCCCATTGCTCTGCACAGAGCCTGGAGAGGAATTTGTTGATTTTTTTAACTTTATTTTTAAATAAAGAAAATTTCTTCAAAATGCCCTTGCCTAAAATGTCACAACTCGAGTGAAATAAAAGGTAGTTATTTTCTCCATGAGACAGCTGGCTCTGAACTTAAGAGTGTCTTAATTTCAATATCTGCCATCTCAAACACAGACCCTGGAAACAGGAGCTGAGCTACTAAGCTACCGTTGCCAGGGTGATAAAGTTCTCCAGAAGGTTTTTAAACTTAAAGTTAGAAATTGTTAATCATACTAATATTAGAATCAGATAAATTTGCCACCATTTTCTAATTCTTCTAAATCAGATTAAATTCCAGTAAAATTAAGCCATAATCCAAGAACCATTCAAAGCTCAGGAAAATCCATTTGGAAGAAGGCAAATTCACAGGCCTTGTTCGCATGACGCTGTGTACACTTCCATCAATTAAACTAGGATGCATGTACAAGATTGTAAAGAGGGAAAGAATAGTAAGGCCATTTTGTTTCTACGTTACTTAAATGAGTTGCAAAGTGAATTTACAAGTTAACCATTGGAGAGGAATAAAATATTAATAGCCTTTATCTAACAGGCAATCTTCTGAGAAAGTGAGTATTTTAATAAGTTTAGCTCATTTTAAAATAAGTCATTCCAGATTTTAAGAACACTCTATCTGGCACCACAATCTCCCAGAAACCAGTCCTTTTATAGAAATGCAGAGGAAAAGAACTATTTTTATCCTTCATTCTAATAAACTATAATGGAATGCAGAATAGAATTGGTGCCCAAAGTTAACCAGCACACAATGTCATCATCTCCATAGACACTCTCAAATAGTACAGATTCAGTTTTCAATCATTCATTCCTTCTTTGACCATTACCTCCGCTTCTCACAAAGGGTAAAAAATACCATAAACATGTATCACCAATCTGTTCCACCACGTAGTTTTCCTTTTGCAATTTTACTGCATATCATGTTAGTCATTTTTTAATTCTCATCCTCTAATTAGGAGCTCTAGCAAGAAAAAAATACCCCTTCTACCTTCAAATACACATACATATTTTTCTTTTGTGGAAGGTGCTTAGCTTCAAAACCACATGAAAAATAAAAATTCATCCACAATCTGTGACATGCTACTCATACCAACTATAAATATGCTCAAGAATGACAGTTGACCCTAAATATCTATAAATATGCAACCATATACTCACAACGTGTGTCTCAGAGCTTAAATCAAATATCACACTAAATCAACAGAGCTGATTTTCAGGTATGCTTCATGGGATTTGGAATTATGACTGTTTAATCTTACCTAGCATTCAAAATTATTCACTGTACAAATTGCACTAGAAAAGAGAGTGCATCCCTTAGAATAATGCTAATCAATGCACTGCAAAATTCACCTGTTTCTGTCTTGCATGGTCTACATGACCATGCCACGTTGCTGGGACTTACAGTAATAGATTACTCTGAAAGAATTTCATTGCTTTTTCTCCCCAGTCAATCTTATTGTGTAAAAAAACACTTATTTACATTAATTACATGGAAATGCTGAAATTTACAAGAATATGCTTTTGGTACACAATTAATACTCTCCCTACCCACATTCATGTCTTCTGTTATTTGATTAATTATTTCACTTGAATGTCTTTGTTAAACAACTAAAATATAGGCTTCTTGAAGGAAAAACACGTGTGCATGTTTTGTTTTCTCTACAGCACACTCTGCATTTATAAGTCCCCGATGATTATTTGAGGAATTGAATATTTCAATATTTCAAACTCTTCCTTTATCTTTGTTTTTCTGCAGTACTGGGGGGGGTGGTAAGACTCTGAGACACACGTGTGCTAGGCAAGTGCTCTACCACGCCCCAGCCCCTTTTGCTTTTAGTTTGTTTCCCCCCATCCCACCCTCGCTAACTTTGCCCAAGTTAGCCTGCAAATCCTCCTACTACCTCCTGCTCCCAGTAGCTGGGATTGCAGCAGTGAATCACTATATCCAATCCTATTTCAAACCTTCTTTCTCTTCAGATCTGTCTTCTACAACTTCACTACACTCCCCAAGAATATAAAGAGTATGAAAACTTAAACTTGCCACCTACCGTTAAGTAGGTAATAAACAGAAATGCTAAAATCACTTGGGAATGAATAAACTCACTCAGAAATGTTATCTGTGCACAGTAAAAGTTGCTACCATAAGATTAAGATCATAAATAAAGGTCAACTTGGTGTGGTCACAGTATCCAGGTATTTGTTCAAATATCCGTCAGGATAGTGTTGTGAAGATACCTTGTGGATGCAATTAACATTGAAATCTGCAAACATTG